ATGTGTGCAAATTTCGATAAACATATACAGTAACTTTAATGGTATCGATAAAGGCACTTGAAGTGGGCTCTCTAGAAGGACAATGTGCTCTACACATTAGCTATTCAGCGTTACAGGACCTTAATAATAAGATAAGGAATACGAAACTAATTTGAGGCATGCAGACTTTACGTTTAAAAACGAAGAGAATATTCACAAAGTGAAAATTCTCGAAAAGAAAGTTTTGATAATGTTTCAACATGGCTTGAAATTGAACTATGTTTTAAGATATGAATTAATTTCATTTAAATCAAAGCGTTATCAAAAGAAAAAATACGTGAGCGATAATTTTTAAGATAGACTTTTTTTCTCGGAAATGTCTTCACTATAGAGTAAGCTTTAATAAAGAAAAAAAAAATCAATTAATTAATAGTTTTGAAAGAAAAGTGATCTCCTGGAAATAAAACTAATGATTTAAAATTTAACAAAATAACTGTGTGAATTTTAATTAATTTTACATTTATTTATGGGAATTGCACCGCTTGTTGGAATTATTTATACCCCTATGGCTCCAAACAATAGCATCCTTATTTAAATTTATTACCAAAAAATCCAAAACAGAGACGAATGTTTTATGCAATTGACAATTGCCGCTATAATAATCACGTACGTGTTAATTTTTCCCGCAACAAAATAAGTGAAATGCAAAAGCAAGCTTCATTGCTACACTGATTGTTGCCACTACACAATTGTTGCCGGTAGGCAGTTGAGCACGGTGGTTGCCATACGTTTTGTTTGCAACTGGCTTTCTGGTTAAAAGTGCCACTTGAAAATACATGTATTTTAAAAATTAACTAATTTGCGCAAATTCCGTGAAATTGTCAGCAAATTTTAATAATTCATAATTAAAAAACCACGTCACGACAAGCAATAAAACCACAAACTTATTTTTTCAACAACAACAAATGAATGTATTTGACTGAATGACGTGTGTATATATACAGATGTGAGTGTGTCAGATCATGCCATTGAAATTTCATTCCCTCATAGGTTTTGATGCGCGAACCAGTGTGGCTGGCTGACTGACGTTGCCACAACAACAGTCAAACCATAAATTGGCGTAGAGGCGCATAATCAGCGGCAAATATGGTGGCAGAGCCTTTTTATTGTTGGAACGGCAGCGACTCTTATACAAGTATTTGTATACACACAGTGATTTCGTTTACTATTACCGAAATAGTTATTTATTTTGTGCGGAATGGTAAATGGCCCTTGGAATCTCACACAACTTCGAATTGTGGTCTTAATAGTCGAACGGTTGCGAAAGATAATTGTTTAATCATCAACGAAGGACTGTTTTGATTTTACTAGGAACATCAGTTTTAATCGTCACCAGAAATACAGAAAATATTATATTTTCGTTCGTTGTATGTGAAAGTGAAAAGCCCTGAATGGGGGCCAATTATTTCTTCATACTGCAGGTTGGAGCCAATTTAAAATACTACACGAGATTGACTGCTAAGTCCAAAAAGCCCTTCTATTTCATTAACTCTCATAGCTGTCAATTTAGCAGTTTGAAAGTTGGAGATTCGGCATCAATACGGATGACAAGTCTAAATTTACGTAGAGACAACTATTTCTCTAAACTGCCTTGTGGTCGATAAAAAGTCCATTTAACTCATAATTCCAAACATATCTTTCTATGGAGAACTTCTAGAGCCATCACATGGATTCCCGCTTTGGGATGATATGGTTAATTGAATATAATATGAAAATTTTAATATTAAAATCGCGTTTTGTATTAACGTCTTGACCTTCAACCTCGATAAGCAATAAGCGTCACAAGTGCCTAGCCAGCATAGCGGCTATCTCTTAATTCGCTCAATGTCCTCGTATATCTTGTACAACTTATCGTTCCATCGACCGTTGCCAATGCGCAAAGGAGCATAAATCACCCGTAGACACTTTCTCTCGAAAACTCATCTTCTTGACTCATCAGAATCGTCATCGTCCATGCCTCTGCACCATATAGCAGAACGGGGATAATGTGTGACTGGTCTTTGGTCGTCGAGAGAGGACTTGACTTCTCAATTCCCTACTTAGTCGGAAGGAGCACCTGTTGGCAAGAGTTATTCTGCGGTTTAATTCTGGGTCGACGTTGTTATGGTCGCAGGTTAAATGGATTGAACTTTCAATTGGCAGATTGTTTTATTCTACCATATTTTTTATAGAAAACTGGTAACTCTACCACTTGTTAGTTCTTAAGTCATCAAGCCTACAAACAATTGAGTTTAGCCTTAAAGAAAATATTAAATCAACCCCGAACCGTAAATAGATAGTAAAGAACACAGTCCCAGTAGTAACTCAAACTTAAATCCGTAAATCTTCCCACAGTTCAGTTCATTATAATTTCTCTGAATAACTGTAAATATGAATAATATTCCGAATGAATAATATTCCTCATATATTAAAGCGTTGCATGCATCACCGTCATTATTATGCGGTCACCGGTGCACACCCCAGTAGCCCAACCGTATGTTGCAACCGACATAAACGGCAATACTGTGTACGCATATAACGGCGTATATAAATAAAGAAATATAAGTTGCGTGTGCGCTGGTATTTACGCGTGTGTGCACCCATTTTGATCCTCTCCATTCAGACACAGAATCATTTCGCGATGAAAATTAAAATTGTTGACAATAACTGTTTTTTTTACTGCCTATTTGTTTGCTATTCCAGACACTGATGTTATTACTACTACTGCTATTGCTACAGTTACAGTTTTTGTTGCCGCAATGCGTGGCACTCACATGCGCCTGCCGCTGGCACTTCTGCCGCTGACCACATTTCATTTGCAGCAGCATCCAATATGCAACGTGCAGTACTCATAATTGTGACTGTTTGTTGTTGTTTTTGTTTGCAGTTTAGCAATTCGTGACTGGCGCAAAATTACACGCATTTTCACAGCAGATTAAAATGTACTATACCATTTTCACGCATGCGAAAATTGCCGCGAAATGTTGCAAGTGCAATATGCTTAACTCAAACATACATATAGAGTGTTATATGTATGTGCGTGTGCAACATGAAGTTAAAAGTAGAACCATGACCTTATGTTTTTATACACATCTGTTAAAACTAGTCCAAAGTTGTTCATTGTCGATATTTTACTAAAATTTTTGCTGGATCGTAAAGTTGGATAGTTTTGTTCTATTATAACGGTAATTGCATCATCGGGAAGTAAACAAGTAACTGAGATATGCAGGCATTATTTCATGTCATAAAATAATAATATTGATGTTTTCCTTTTGGGAGTTTGGGCCCGACAAATATTTTCAAGAAATCAAACTTTGTTTTGGCCCATAGTACAGGTTGGGGTCCTGGAACCATTATGCATATTATAAAGTAGTGGACATATTGGACAGTTCCCGGCTTAACACATAAATAACGTTGCTAGAATTAGATATATGTAGCTTTTAGTTAGGCCCTACCTTCACTAAACAAGTGTATAAATTTATAAAGTTATCAACTGGAAGTGTCGTCATATCCTTCACGAATATTTCGGTATAAGAAGGATCTGAGTGAAAGAGGGTGCTGCGCGAACTCACTTTTAACTAAAAATGGCGACGAGTAGATTATTCGGGGCATTCGGGTAACAAAATCGATATGTGACAATTGATGAAACGTGGCTCCATCATTTCAGTTCGAAGTCCAATCGACAGCCATTCGAGTGGGCTGTACCCGATAAAAACGCTATAATAGGCTGAGAATAATATGGCGTCTGTATTTTGTGGCATGAAATAATCTATATTAAATACCTTGAAAAGGAAAGGATCATCAACAGTGAGTATTAAATTGCGTGAATGGACTGCCTGAAAGACGAAATAGCCGCATTTGAAGGAAAAGAAACTATTGTTTCGTGAAGGCAAAGCACCGTGTCACAAGTCAGAGAAAACTTTGCCAAAAATACATGAATCGGGGTTCGAATGACCTCAACACCTATATTTTTCTCCAGCTCTGGCTACAGCGATTATTTTCTGTTCTCAGATCTCAAAAGAATGCTCTCTGGGAAGAAATTTTCGTCGAATGAAAAGGTGATCGCCGAAACTGAGACTTATTTTGACAAATCGTTTTACAAATATGGTATCGAAAAGTTGGAGCGTCGCTATAATCAATGTAACAACTTTTGAAGAAATCTATCTGGAGTAAAAAAAGGATTTTGCCAAAAAAATGTGTTCAAATATGGTAGTCCGGCAACTTTCCAATTGACCTGACATCAAAATGTCAATATAAAATTGTTTTATTCGCTTGAAAGCATGAAATTAGTTTTCTCTTTTCTTACTCCTACAATAAATTGTCAAAGTTAGATTGGGATCTAACCTGGTTTAAACTCCTTAAGGCTTCAATGTAAATTTGACAACTATTGTTCACCAAGAGTCTGCTTAATGAAGGGGTTACATGAGTTTACGAATTTCAAAAAATATACTATAGTTTATTTCTACAGAACCTCTAAAATAGAGATACAGCCTTTAAAACTTGTACGCTCGAGGCTAGCTGGGCTAAGTGAGACGTCTTTTAACGAGTTTTTCCCGAAACTGTGTTTTTGAAGCCGGTTGGCTAGATATCTCGAAATAAACTCAACCGATCTTCGTGAAATTTTACACAAGTTTTTGAGGTGCAATTCTTAGAGAGTTGGAGAAGGAATTTTTTGATTGAAACTATTTGAAAAATAAAACGTCGCGAAATTTTCACTGAAACTTTAATTTTTGGGTAAAAATGTCAGTCTAATTTTTAGTTTTTTTTCTTCGCCTAGCATATTTTTAGATATTTGTTAAATATTTATAAACTATTTTAATAATATTTAGAAGTCAGTATCAGTACAAAATAAAGAAGTTTCATCAACTTATCAGTTACATATTATGCATATTTATTTTGAAGTTAAAACACCACAATTTTACAAATGAGTCACCAACAAGAACTATTTTTAAACATGAAATTTGCTGGACATATTTTTGAGATTAATTACAGAACTCAAATTTTGTCGCCTGCCGCACACGTTTCCGATACTGCCAACGGTAATACAACATTTCTCCAGCAAAAGCGATTAGTGCCAACGTCAAGCAGCCAAAGTATTGAATGCATATCCAGAAGAAATCATCTAAAACTAAGGGACTTCCAGAATCCAGTGGCTTACTTAAATCCTCGAATACCACCAACTTCAATTTGGCCAAAACAAAGAAATTTAATGAAATAAACTCTTTTATAATACCCGACGAATCTAGACGTAATATGACGTCATCCAATAAATCAAGATAAGGCAGATCCGGGCGCGTCGGCAAAGAAATTATGGAACTTTTAAAGAAACAAAACTCGCTATTAAAATAGAATATTGGGCGATGGAAGAGGCTTTGGTGAAACTCGAAGACCTCCCAACGAGTATTCGATACGGGATACACATACTTCGTGTTCATCGAAGAACGATGCTTCAACCATGCGTCGTGGTCTTCCAGGATTTCAAAGAGGTTAGGGTGCTCCTGTATGCTGCTGTTCATATCTAATATAATCTTTTCTTTGGCAGAAATCAATACTTTGAGCCCAGCGGCTTCCATGTCATCGTAAGTGCGATACATCGGTTGTAGAGGTGGTTGTGTTAGATAGGATTGCAGATAAGCCTGATATGTCGTATTAGTGATGATGCTCATATAGCAAAGTAAGAATATGATAAGTTTCACTTTTAGATTTGGTCTCACCACCGGCACGAAGGATTGCCCCAAAATGCCACGTATACTTTTATCATTCAAAAAGAGATTAATAAAATTGATTTTCATGTGCGGGTTGAGATGTGTAAGTAAAGCGGCGAAAATTATAGTAAAAACGAAGATATAAAACAGTGTTGGTAAACGCACGATGCCAACGAATAGCTCATTGATTGGTACCGTTTCGGGCAACGGCACCATATAACAATAATCCAAGTGTTGCACTGGATAGGACATCACTTCTTGGTCTGCCGAAGACTGTGGAAATGTCAAACCGGCAGCAACGTCAACAGTGCCGTTAAGCGCCAACTTCAATAATTCACCGAAATATGTGGTTTTACCTATTTCAAAGGGGTGTTCAATCGCCAGCGTTGCATTTACTTTGGCCGCAAATATTCTCATCAATCTGCCGATGTAACCCTCCATTTCCAGCTTGCCATCCGCTTTGTAGTAAAGCATTGTGCGTGGTTCCAGTTGATCGGGGTACGTCAGTATCTTCGTGCCATGCATATCGCGAAACTGATGCTCAAAGATCGCGCTATTAACGCCCGCGTCCATATTTTTTTCTTTATAGCGTGGCGCATGAAGCGGAAACTTATTGCAGGTGTAATATTTGTGGCTCTCAGCAAAATCATTTTGTATTATTAAGACATTGTAAATATCTTTAGCCATGGCGTTGGTGCAAATTTCTTCTATTAGCTGTAAATTTGTCGCTTGTGGCGCATAGGCTACGATGCGGGTTTGCTTTAAGTCGTGGAACACATTGATTTCCTCGAATTCGTCATCTATATTTGCATGCTCGAGACACAGTACAATGACTAATTCTTTTGAGAATGTTGATTTGTATTTATATGCTTGCCGCTTATTGATAACCACAACAGGTAATGACAACTCTGGAAGAAGTTGCTCAAAAATGCAATCTTGTGCTCGTGTCTTGCAAATTGCTACGGTATTATAATCGCGTTGCTCGCGCACGTTTTCGAGTAGTTTTAGCAAATCTTTTGTGTTTTCATTAAAGCCCGTCACTTCAGGTAGTACATTCGCTATGACTAAAGTCTTTCGAATGGCCAATAATATTATAATACTTAATAAATGCTTCGTCAGTTGTCCACTTAGCATACTGGAACTTGCAACTGCACGATTTAACCGTTTAACTAAACTGTTTCGACACCGTTAAACCCATTTAAGTGGACATTTGACACATGTTTTGACTCATTGCGTGCAAATATTTGCATTGAAATTAGTTTCATAAATATTTTGTGTTGTTGTTTTCCTTGTTTGACAAGTCCTCATTCATGTTTTCCGTGCGAAAATAACGTTCAGTTGTTTAGAAATTATTATTTTTTTGTTAAAAGAAATTTATATATAGACTTTTGCAAATGCGCCTGTACATATATTGTAACAAAAAAAGCACCGAGAACTGGTAATTAAATTGTCCGACTAAATAATATTTAAAAAATAAAAAACAAAGGTTGTTTTTTACTAGGTTGGGAAGACTGTTTAATTACTATGCTAAATATGAGCGCGAATTGTCAATCAGTTTGTTGACAGCATTTATAACCCCAACATTGCGGCGAATCTTGGAAAAAGTTTACGGTGATTCGGTTTAATCAAAAGTGCAAGCTCAAGAGCGATACACAGTCTTTGAAGATTGTCCAGAGATCGTTGAAACGTCGTTATGGAAGGTATTCGACCTGTTCAACTGATGAAAATATTAAACAAGTTTAGGTTATGATGCTTGAAAATCATCAGGCAAGTGTTAGAGGCCTCGACATTTTTTGCAAGTCTTTTCGTCCGGATAGAACTAGTTTTTTTTTTTAATACCGTAAACAGGTCTCTTTGGACATACTTGATCGTGCGAATTCCAATCCCATATTCATGTTAATGAGTTTGACGTGGAAACACAATAAACATCGACATATCGACCCGTTTTCAGTCGGACACACAATTCGCTAAAGGAGCTGGAGTCTATCCCAAAAAATTCTTAAGAAAAGTGTTTCAAGGGGATTATTTTGAAAGTAACAAAATAAATATTAATATATAATTAAATATTTTGCGTTTTACTTACAATTTAGGAGTACAAACTATTCGAATAGTTCATTTTCGACTACATAATTACGACTTACAATTATCCGGACACTCCAAACCGAATATTATTAATCGAATAATGTCCTATGAGGTTAATCAGGGTAGTCAATTAGTCGAATATCGAGAGCTCTAGTTTGTATGGTACGCTATATGCTATAGTCATCCGCCAGCAGTGGTTCTGACAATTGAGCAAAGTTTCAGAGCGATATCACAAAGACTGAAAAACTAGTTTGCGCATATGCAGACAGATGAAAAAATGGATTTGGCTAAATTCACTCAACTCGTCACATATGGGGTTTCCCTTCCTTCCTTCCGGACGTTATTCCCTTTTATATATCTGTAAATTTTATGGAAATAATATAAGAATTGCCACTAAAATTGAGAATATATCCTTTATAGTTAGCCTTAACTTGCGAAAGATATATATAGGTATTTGATGAAAAAACATGTCCAATACCAAAAAATAGTTTATTGACTGATTAACAAACCAAGCAACCATTCGTATGTGGTTTGTTGAATTGAGCACGGTCTACATGCATACTAAAGAAAATAACTCAGTGGTCGTCTACCATAAACGAGGCAATTACAGACGAAAATATCAAGAGAATTTACAAGTGACCTTAAAAGGAGTTAGGGAGACGGATTACTCTCTGTACATATCAAAGGAACGTGTTGTTAATGAATATCGGTACCCCACGAGTTACCATAGACGTTGAATCGACAAAAGGTTGTGAAGATTACTGCGTAAAATAAATAATTTTGCTCAGACTTATTGTAAATGTGCGTTCTATGAGCTCTTAAAAAGATCTAAAATGGTCCAATGTTTTCGAGCTAAATTTTTTTTAGCGGTGAGGTCCATTTCTGCCTCAATGGGTACGCAATAATGTATGCCGCATTTGGGACTAAGAGCAACCTGAAGAAATTCAAGTGCTACCATTTCATTCATAGAAACAACGTTTGGATGGGGTGATGGTAAATGGCAACCATTTGCGCACCATGATAACCTATTTAAAGTTTCTGTGCCTTTTCTTTAAGTAGGAAACCTCGAAATGAACCCCTTATTTTCTTTCAGTGATATCGAAAAGGAAAATCGATTTAATATAATTAAAATTCCATCCTTAAATTATTTAATCTACGAACTAGCGGAATTGCTGATTAAAAGAAAAAAATCGCATAGTTCTTGCAGTTCTCTAATTAAGCGTTTTGAAAAGCTTTTACTTACAGTTATTAGTGAAAGATTCATAATTTGAGTTATTAATAAATTTACGCCAGTTGTATAAACGTATCTGGTAACTCAAAGAAAGGTTTTCAATATAACAAAAGAAATGCATAAAAGTACATTTTAAGAGGAAAATTAGAACACAGTAGGAAATAGATCCAGCCTTTGGCTATTGAAATGCCAGTCTTTGAGTATTTGCTGATTAAAAGTAAAGAAATAATGCAATAAATAAGCGTATCACCGTTTGTTGTGCACTTGCAGGACGAAAGTGCCATTTTGTTGCCTTATTATGGATGCAACACGGCCAGCGGCAGAAGGCTGTGGCAAAGTCTATGCAACGAACTTGCTGCAATTTTGTAAAAAACGAACTGATCAAACTGTAAAAGCGAAAAGGAAGCAAAGCTTTGTGGCAGAAACGAACAAAAAGCGAAGTAAGAAGGAAGATGTTCCGTTGTTGTTTCCTTTTTCTTGAACGCTCAACTTTTCGCACTTCCCTATTTTCTGGGCTTTCAGTAGTTTTAATTCATTTGCCGCTTTTCATTGCGTTCATGAGTATTAATGGCGCTGTCGCCAATGGCTCCCTGTGTCCGTCCAGTGCGCGACGCGTCGCAACAATTGCGTGAATTGCTGCGACAATTTTGCGCTGTTAGCGATAAATTGCTGTATTTTACTTTGTGCTTTTTAGTTCATTTGTTTAGCGTATTTATTCTTTTGCCTTCTTTACATTTTTACGCGCTTACGCTTTTCGCACCAACTTTGCTTGGAAAAGCTGCAACATTGAGAGGAAACAGCGCGCTTTGTCAGGGAATTGTGTGGGTAAATAGTGAGCGGTGCGACGAAGGTTGGGTAGTGTCCTTTTGAACGCGGTGTCGTAGTTTACAGCTTTGCGGACCTTTCAATGGCGCCGCTTGAAAAGTAATTGATTTATGCGCAGAAAATGCTCAGTTAATTGGACAGCACTGTGGACATTGGCGAAGCCTGAGGAGTGGTCACCTTTTATTTAAGAATTTCGTTTTGAAAAAACGCGAATAAAAGCCTTTTACTTTATTTAAACTAAGACTTTGTCAATGCGAAATCATTGCAGTATATAGTAATGAATAAATAGTTAAATAAACGCAAACGGCGCATTGGCCAAAGTAATTTATTGGTAGTGGTTGGTAGGAATTGGTTTTTCGCTCCTATAGCATTCACTCGATGCAGGGAAAACTCAATGAATGTAATTAATTTTCTTTAGCACTTTACATTAGAACTACAATAATTAGCACCACTGCACTTAAAAGTTTACTAAAGGCAATTCCAAAGCACAACAAAACAAAAAAAAAAAAAAAAAAAAAAAATAAAAAAAGGCTAAGTTCGGGTGTCAAAGAACATTTTATACTCTCGCATGATAAAGTGATAATCGAGATTTCATTATCCGTCATTTACATATTTTTTTATTTTGCTGTAAAATTAATTAGATTAGATCAATTTGTATACCTTGAGTATTGAATTGTATTTTCATTTATTTTAACTGCATTGATTTACCGATATTTTCGGTGAAAAATTAGGTTAGGCACTGAGTTCTTCGTGTTCGATATCAGGGACCTTGAAAAGTTGTAGTCCAATCACGACAATTTTTCCGCAAAAGATATCTCAGCTCAAATACCGTATTTGTGTATAGTTTTATTCCGCTATCATCATTGGTTCCTAATGGATATATTATACAGAGAAGACACCAGATGGAATTCAAAATAGCGTTATATTGGAAGAAGGCGTGGATGTGAACCGATTTCACCCATATTTCGTACATGTCATCAGGGTGTTAAGAAAATATTATATACCGAATTTCATTGAAATCGGTCGAGCAGTTCCTGAGATATGGTTTTTGGTCCATAAGTGGGGGACGCCACCCCAATTTTCAATTTTTAGAAAAAGCCTAACTGCAGCTTCCTTCTGCCATTCCTTCCGTAAATTAAGTGATGGCACTTTATAGGTTTTCGGTTTCCGCCATTTTGTAGGCGTGGCAGTGGGCCGATTTTTTCCCATCTTCGAACTTAACCTTCTTATGGAGCTAAAAATACGTGTACCAAGTTTCATCACAACATTTAAATTTTACTCAAGTTACAGCTTGCACGGATGGACGGACGGACAGACAGACATCCGGATTTCAACTCTACTCGTCATCCTGATCACTTTGGAATATATAACCCTATATCTGACTTTTTTAGTTTTAGGACTTACAAACAATCGTTATGTGAACAAAACTATAATACTCTCTTTAGCAACTTTGTTGCAAGAGTATAAAAATATATATTGTAAATTATCCATTTACCAGTAAAAAATGTAATCTCTCAGGCATGCGCCTTTTTAATAAAAAAATTTTGGATTACAAATAATATTTTTAATTCCGATTTGAGACTGTTGGGAATCATTTTAAATAATTATTTTTAATTCAATTTAGGATTAAAAATTTTTGCATTAAATATTTAATTTCAGAATCAAATCTTAATTCCGAAATTTTTGCATCTGATTTTCCAAAAATTAAAGAGAGTACAAAAGAAAAAAAATTACTCGGTTGTTATTTGAATTAGTTTTTAATGCATCATTTGCAAGTGTGCTATGTAAATATTCTACTCCCACCATAAGCTCATTTCAAGCTTCAAATCGTAAAAATTCTTAAAAGCGTTTTCAGGTATTGTAGAAAATCTAAACAAATTATTTAAAAAATAACCTTATCGCCTGTGGCGTGATGTTCATCATATTTATAATCGGATTGAAAATAATATAATAAATAAGATAAATTTTATTTATTATAATACTTAAAACATTTTTC